CAGTGCAGAAACGAGTCAGCAGCAATGCCGTTTGAATAGCACCATCTGGAGATTGTAGGGATTCAGTGCAGAAACGAGTCAGCAGCAATGCCGTTTGAATAGCACCATCTGGAGATTGTAGGGATTCAGTGCAGAAACGAGTCAGCAGCAATGCCGTTTGAATAGCACCATCTGGAGATTGTAGGGATTCAGTGCAGAAACGAGTCAGCAGCAATGCCGTTTGAATAACACCATCTGGAGATTGTAGGGATTCAGTGCAGAAACGAGTCAGCAGCAATGCCGTTTGAATAACACCAGATTGCCTTCATCTGGAGATTGTAGGGATTCAGTGCAGTATTACAAACTCCACAACTGCGCTTTCAGGTCCACCCAGAGTGCTGTAATATGCAATACCCAGCACTGCTCCCACCATGAGCGAGCCACCTCATTGGGCTGCATGTCGCACTCCCCCACGGTGGTACGTCTCTACATACTAAGCTCACAGTAACAAGTCACACTATAATACAACTATGTACACCCACCATTATAACAAAAGTAACACATTAATAACTGGAACAAACCGCAATAATGAAGATAATCATAAGCATGCCTAACAAAACCAAACAGCCCCCAGCCCCCCCACACACAAACCGGTCCTCACCCCATTATTCCAGAGCAGGGGTGTTGCCCCCCCCCACACACACAAACCAGTCTTTACCCCATTAATCCAGAGCAGGGGTATTGCCTGGTAGCACGCTAACCTGTAGCATGCTAATCTGCAGCACGCTAACCTGTAGCATGCTAATCTGCAGCACGCTAACCTGTAGCATGCTAGCCTATAGCAACCGCTGCACAAGATTTCCCAGTTTTGAGTTTGGGCTTTTTTTGTGATTAGTGAATAATGTAGGTAGTCGTTTCTGTCACACAACAGTCCAGTAGTCATTTCTGTCACACAACAGTCCAGTAGTCATTTCTGTCACACAACAGTCCAGTAGTCGTTTCTGTCACACAACAGTCCAGTAGTCGTTTCTGTCACACAACAGTCCATTCTTGAAATGCTGCCCCCGCAGGCCCAAAAGGCACGCTTGCCATTCTGCTGTTCCCAGATCAGGGCTCTCATTTTAAATCTAATGAAATAATCAAAGGCCATTCTTCATACTCGGATCTTCCTTGTCAGCTCCCTCGGCCCCTGTGTATGTCTCTGCACAGTTCTGTGCCGAGACACGTATTGACTCAGGTTAATTAATACGCGAGTATTACACTCAAAGGTCACGAAGGGATGAAAGGACATATTTTCCCCCCTTCGGTCAGCGATAGAAAGCTTTTCCAGTAAGATGCATGCCAGAGGTATTTACCTCAATAGGCATGCAAAAACAGTAGTTGAACATTTATTAGTGAAGACTTGCTGGAAATGACAATGGGAGAGAGAGTGACGTCCTAAAGAAGCAGGAGCCCCTTAAAGCACTTCATGTCTCGGCTCAGGAGAGGTGGGGGGGGGGGGGGGGGCAAGGACCCCTGTCTCATGGTTGAAGATGCAGTGACACAATTTCTCAAGCGATCACCTGGAAGGAATCAGCTCCATGTGGGCAAACATTCAGTTACAGCTGCAGATACCTGGAATCGCCCAGAATCAGCCCAGAATCGGCCCGGGATCAGCCTGGAACTGACCCAGGGTCAGCTGGGAATTGGCCTGGAATCACTAGAAATGATGACGTGACATAAACAGTCACCCATTACCATCTGAGCTGATGGATCCCTTGCTGAAGTGAATGGATTTAATGGTCTTCATAAATGTGTCCACAGCACAGCTGGCAGCTGACGTTAGGAGCTCGACAGCAGCTTACAGCATTGGCTATATGCTGAGAACTAAAGGCACATTGCACAGCGCAGCGAGACCGTATGTCACACACAGCCCCCTGCTCTGTCCCTCCTGAATCACTGACTCAGAGTCTAATGGTCATCCTGCCTAGAACAATGTTTCTGTTTTTGAAAGAGCTGTTATTTGATGCCAGACTTTAGATCAATCTCTGTTCTGATCTGTTAAACAGTGTAATTGAATTAAAATCGTGCAGAGTAACACCTTTCCAGCACGACTTGGTAAACTGACAGATTTGTGTACATGTAACCTCCCCAGTTTCATCCTCTCTTAGCAGCGTTTCTCGCTCTCTCTCTCTCTCTCTCTCTC